ATCTAGAACGTTTCCTGTAAATGGGTCAAATGGTCATTTGCGCGCAGGTACTTAACTAGCATTTCATTAATATAAACTTCCATTGATTTACCTATTTTTTCTTCAAAATTTTTATTTACTAGGCGTTGGTAAGTAGCCCCTGCATTTTTTAGCCCGAAGGGCATCACATTATAACAATATGTTCTATATTTGGTGACAAATGAAGTCTTTTCCTGGTCCTCTAGGTTTATCTGGATTTGATTATACCCGGAATAGGCATCGAGAAAAGCGAGGATCTCGTGGTCGGCCGTGGCATCGATCATGCGATCGATGTTGAGCAGCGTAAAGGAGTCTTTAAGGCATGCTTTGTTTAAATCCTTATAATCCACACACACTCTACGTTTGTTCCCTCTTTTAGGCACTACAACTACATTGGCTAACCATTCGAGATATTTCACCTCCCGAATGGATCCTATCTTGAGAAGTTTGGTTACCTCATCGTTTATGAATGCGTACTTTACCTCGGACTGGGGTCTTCTCTTTTGCTTCACCGGTATGAAACTAGGGTCCAAGCTTAGACAATGCGTCATTATGTCCGGTGGGATCCCTGTTATATCTAAATGGGACCAGGCAAAGCAATCAATGTTATCGATAAGAAATTAAATAAGTTTCTTCCTGAGTTCGGGGCTCAACCTCGTTCCTAGGTATACCTTCCGTTCGGGCCAGTGCTCGATTAGTGTGACTTGCTCCAGTTCCTCAATCATTGATTTGGTGGCATCGGAGTCATCGGGAATCACGAAGGATCGAGGTATCCTCTGATCATCATCTTCTTCGATCCCCTGGTTATCAGGTTGGGTCAAAGCCGATGTCTGTGACTGCTATTTGGTATCTCGTTCCCCTTCCGAGCCCGATCCCTTTACTGGCGAAGGCGAGGATATTGGTTTCACTTCCTCGACGACAAACATTTCTCTTGCTGCTAGTTGTTCTCCATACATTGTTTTGACTCCTCTCGATGTTGGGAATTTGAGGACCTGGTGTAGGGTCGAAGGTACAGCTCTCATGTTGTGGATCCATGGCATTTCGATCACGTGGAACTTCGTTTCCTGGATGGTTCTGGCCATGTCTATTGGTAGAATTATCTCGCCTTTGGTGGTTTCACATGCCATATTGAATCCGTTTAGAACCAGGGTTGCGGGTACGATCTGGTCTTGCAGGCCGAGCTGTTCTACGACCTTCAATCTGATGATGTTGGTCGAGCTACCTGGATCAATTAACACACGCTTAACTTTAGTTTTATTCATGAGTACGGATATTACCAGTGCATCGTTATAAGGTTGTATGACTCCTTCTGCATCTTCATCATTGAAGGACAAAGTTCCTATGGGTGTGTAATCTTGAGTTCGAGATAGCTTTTCTCTCACATTCGATGTCTTAGTACGTTTAAGCACTGGTCCCTAAGGGGTATCGGCGCCGTCGATGATCATGTGAATGACGTGTTGCGGCTCTTCTTGTTCGTTTTGCTTGCCAAAATCCCTATTTTTAAAATGGTTCTTCGCCCTATCACTTAAAAATTCTCGAAGGTGCCCTTTGTTGAATAACCGTGCCACTTCCTCTCTTAGTTGACTGCAATCTTCCGTTCTGTGGCCATGGGTGCCATGACATTCGCACATTTGATTGGGATTCCTCTGGGCAGGATCGGTCTGCATGGGTCGAGGCCATTTAGTGTCTTTGATGCGTTCAATAGCCGAAACGATGGCGGATGCATCAATGCTGAAGTTATATTCCGATAACCGAGGTACTTCCTTAGATCCGGCAGGCCTATCGAACCTACTTCTGTTCATGAGCCCCCGGGACCCTTGACCTCGATCACTTCTTTTGTTATTTTACCCGAGGTTATGTCTCGATTCACTGACTCTGTGGCTTCCGTTGTACGGTTGGTATCGATCCCCGATCGGACCTCGTTCTCAATTAGTATCCCTTCGAACAACGGGTTCAGACCCCAATTCATCATCTTCGACCCTAATTTTTGATTGATACCGATTGTGCACGTTGGCCCACGTGATGGCTGGGTATTCAATCAGGTTATGCTTTAACCACCGTGAAGCCGTCAAACTTCGTTCGTTCAAACCTTGAGTGAAAGCCTGAATATCCCAATCGTCTGTGACTGGTGGCAAGTCCATTCATTCCATTTGAAAACGAGATACGAACTCCCTCAGCATCTCGTTATCCTTTTGTCTTACCTTGAAGAGGTCCGATTTCCTTGTTGCGACTTTTATGGCGCCGGCATGTGCTTTCACAAAAGAATCTGCTAATATGGCGAACGAGTCTATGAAATTTGGTGGTAGGTTGTGATACCAAATCATTGCCCCCTTCGAGAGGGTCTCTCCGAATGTTTTTAACAACACAGATTCGATTTCATCGTCTTCTAAATCATTGCCCTTTATGGCACACGTGTAAGAAGTGACGTGCTCATTAGGATCGGTCGTTCCGTTATATTTGGGAATCTCGGGCATACAAAATTTTTGGGGGATAGGTTTCGGGGCTTCGCTCGAGGGAAAAGGTTTTTGCACGAATATTTTTGAATCCAACCCTTTTATCATTGGTGGAGCTCCCGGGATCTGATCGACCCTAGAGTTATAAGTTTCTACTTTTTATCATTGGCTTCGACTCGCTTTGTGAGTTCCTCGAGGAATTTAGCAATTTCGGGAGTAGTCCCCGATTCTTGCTCATTTGACTTCACTATGGCTGGCTCCGTTCTATGGGTGATTTCTCGAGGTGGATTGGGCTCTGGCCTACTTTGTAGCTGGGTTTGGCTCTGCAACTGAGCTATTGCTGCCTGTTGGGCTTGCAACATTTCGAAAATCATATGCAAGCTAACACCGTTTTCCTCGACGTTATGGGTATCTCGAGCTGCAGACCGAGTGCCATCATGGATGCTATTCTCGGGTTCAGCATGGAGGTTCGCCTCAATGGCTACATGCGAATTGATTTCTATTGGCGCTGATTCGAGCTCCAACGGCGCTTATAAGTGGCCTTTCAGTACTGGGTGTCAAGTTATTGTTCTCGTCTTGAAGACCGGCTCCGTTGTCGATTGGTGAAGCCATTTGATTGGTAGTTAGTCGTTGCTAATCCGAAATCCAAGATATTTTCGGAACCGAGCGCAAAACACAACGGTGTGTTTCTTTAGATTCGTATCAAATAACCAATATTATCCTTAGCCTCACGGTGGGCGCCAAACTGTTTACCCGAAAAACGGATGGAGTTGAATTTATACGTAGTTCTAAGGATATGTGGCGCAACTTAATACAAACTGTAAGGATAAATAGAAATATAAGTATGGATTGCAAAGAATGCAAAATAGATAAGGTTGTAAGAAAGATGAATTTTAGGACTAAACAAGTGGAATCAATTTAAGAAGTGTGAAAGAATAACTCTTTACTATGGGAGAATATAGTATTTTGATTACAATGTAAGCATAAAAACTGGCATTTACAGAAATGATAACCATGCCCTTTATAGTAGAGGGATCTTGCTTTAAACATAATTAAAAATATTCAGTGGAAGACCCACGATAAATTAGCTTTTTCACAGTTCCTGCCAAGATTCTCTCTTCTAGTGGGATTGCAACGGCTTTTGTCTGTGAGCTCGATCTTGACTCGAGCTCTCGATCTTGGTTTGAGCTCGATTCTGACTCGAGCTCTCGAATTGATTCGGGGTCAATGTTTGTCGGTCTCTGGATCATAAGCTTGATAGCTTTACTTTGCATCATAATTCGATTTGGATCCGAGCTTGATAATGATATCGAACTCGGCATTGATCGGCCCCTCGGATTCGAAGCTTGTTTGTACCATCTTCGGAACCCATCTCGAGGTCTCACTTCGATCGATTATCTTTCGAACTCGATCGGACGTACGAAAACCGAAATCTATTTCGACCATATACAATGTTCAAATAAAAAATTTATGCTAAACGAGTAATTCAAATGTCTTAAAGCCTTACGTTAGCTTGAAGCCGGACCTCTTTGTATTGTACTATGATAGGTCTCAAACGTTCTGCTATTTTATATCTTTATCGGAGTCTTGTTGTATCCTCCCCACCTCTTTATGCTTTTATAATTTGCTAATCGTATTATTGTACGCTTATGCTTTAAAATGAAACTCATCAACTTTTGAATATTATTATGATTATAGGTGAATAACATGTTTCCTTCGCCAATTTTTGCCACATTTAGAGGCGATCTATGAGACTTATTTGGTATTATTATGCTCACTCTTCTTATCTCGTGACTTTAATATATTACAATTATGCTATTATATGAAAAAAGTATTTACAACCATTGAATCACGTAACTTGCCGTGTGGACAACTTTGTTTATGACGACGCTTATGACGGGACAATTACGTTATTTGGTATGTTATTAACAACAATAATGGTTTGAATAACCATCATTGAATATCTATTTTAATTTCTATGCCTGCAGGGAATATGCAAGGATTGAACGACGGTTCTAAAAAAAAAATTGACGGATATTTTTGGCAATAGAATAATTTTCTATTAATTTTAAAACAATATTGAATCTCAATATTATCCTCTGAAGACGTAATCAAACCATCATACATTGGGATTATTAAATTTAAAAAAAACGTAATTGAGCTTTTAATGATATGGGATACCATTATAAAATGTCATATCTTTGTCTTAGTTCATTCAATAATATTGATCTGGGCACTAGATCTATTCCAGCTAACAAATCTGTGTATTATCCTTAAGTATTCATCAACAATGATTCAGAATTAATGTACTAAAGATTAGACCGAAAGGAAACATAGAACTACTTCAATGATGAAAAAAATAAAGAAGAGACAGTAGAGGAAACAGGCCTCAAAAGAGAGGTGAAGGACACATCAAAAGGACGATAAAGCTCTCAGCTGGGACGGACGATAAAGCTCATCTGATCCAATATAGAGAGTAACAACTGGAGTAGGAAATAAAATGGTATAAACANTATATATATATATGTCTCAATTGATCATAGTCTTATGTTCCAGTCTATGAGTTATGTCAAAATCTACATGGACGAAAGCACGCTCGACTTCAACAAGTTGCTCCAGTTTTTCCTGCAGTGTTTCACCAATATTATGTGCCTGGTTCAGGAACATGTCCTCTGGCAGCACTATATCAACCTCCACAAAATATTGTGTGCCAAAGTTATATGCTCTAACAGTATCAATGTGTTTGATCCTTTCATGGTGATTCCATATAAGATATGTTAACTTTGCTAGAAATTCGGGTGGAGCTGTTCTTCCAATAAGTGACCACACATTTTCCATCACTGTCTTTGCCCATGTGCTCATTGTGTAAAGTGCTATCTGAAACACACAACAGAGACTAATAAGATTAATTAATAAAGATATGCTACTTTATTCTTCAAAATGCTAATTAATTGCTTAAACTAAACAAATACTACTACTTTAAAAAGCTGTTGCAGTAACAAAGGATGATCAGTTCTCCATAGGAAATGCAAAAACATCTCAATTGCAACAACAGACAAGGTATACAAATAAAAGAACTATGTGGTGTTATTCTGAACTCACAATTATAGCTCCAGTAGGATCAATCCACCAGTAGAAATGGATGGCTAAGACTGCTGCCATTAATCCGATTGAGTTGGTAATGACATCAAAGAAATGATCTTGAGCATAGGCCCTTACAATTTCATTTTTGAATCTTCGGCAGTAGATCAGAAGCATAAACTTGACCACAGTGACAGAAACCATTATTCCTATCATCCATTGTTCCTTCTCAGGGTCCATATCAGGACGAGACTAATAATTAAAGCATAGAACCAGAAAAACAAATTGAGGTTAAGTGTCAAGCATATTACAATATTTCACTAGTGAAATTGCGGTAAATTAGAGTTCAGTCCTTCAATAAGAAATGTATCATGTGGGACTAATCTTTATTAATCTGTGCTTCATATGTAGTATCAAAACTAGTTGTTTTCAGTTAGAGCACAAACGACTAGTTCATCTTTATACATGGATTAGAGGGCATATCTTGTGTTACTGCAACTTTCTTTTAGTAGCAATTCAGCTTCTATTTTAGGTCTTTTGTCGCATTGTACGACATATTTCATTTATCAGACAAGCTAGTGGTAATATTCAACAATATAAATTGTCCATCAATTTTAAGAAAGGGATTACTTAGGGCAAAGGACTACCGTAAACTCTACTACAAAACAACTTAAAATCAACTATAGAAGTACAAAATCCGGAGAGAACTCTAGGCTGCTGATATTTAGGGGAAGAAGGAAATACGAATATTGTTAAGAGTCCCACACTGATTGAGGGCATAAGCTGTAGTCTCTTTATATGGCCCTAGAAGATCCTCATCTCACCCGAGTAAACTTTTGTAATACATGCACATATTGCGAAATCACTTGAGCAAAACTGTTGAGTTAGGTCCAAAATTCATTTTGCCTAACATGGATTATTAAAAGACCAGTAAGGATATTGTGCTCTCAAAGTATATTTGAGGAAACGTTCTTCATCAATTTGACATTATTTTTAGAAGTCACAATACTCAACCTTGTACCAGCTCACACATGACACATCCATCTCATGACACAGCTGAAGAGAACCAAGTTACATACCTTAGTTATGAGTTCTTTACCAGACTCGAACAATATTTGTAATCCTAGGGTCGCCATTACGGATGCAAAAACAACTATACCCTGAAAATATTGCAGCAGATCATTTCAAACAATAAACCATATTAATGTAAAAAATATTGCACACAAGCAAGATATTCTGGTTTACGTGCTACCCTTTAAGCTGTTAATTCTTGAGGAAACTGTCAGAAGGCACAAAGGTATTATCCAGATATATAAACATAAATTGGTGATCAGACATCTTTTCTTATTCTTTCTAGGGAGCTAAAGGAATATGTTTTTTCTTCTTTTTACTCTAATTTCGGAGAAATACCCTGAAACAAGGGTGTTCCTTGGAAGAAAAAACAGTAGAAGACTCACCACTGGCTGCATTCTCTTCTTTCCAATTGGATAGCGGTACTGGTTTGGCGTTTTCATTGCATGAGAAGTGAACCACAGAATAAATCCAGATAAGAGGTCTAATAGCGAGTCTAAGGTCGATGAAATTACAGCCAGCGATCTGCTGTCAATAGAAGCGTAGACTTTAGCAATGAAAAGAACCATATTTGCTATGTTTGACGCATGAATAGCCATTCGTTCGCTCTTAGCATGTTGCTTCATTTCATCCTGGCATTAATAATCATTGGTAGACAGGAAAAACAACATTATTTGTTGATTCTTATTACGAATATTAACAGAGATCAAGATTCAAGAAACCTAAGAATCTGACTGAAAGTCCTAATATACACTCGGGTTAACATGGAAAAACATTGTAGTTATTGAAGAGGCAGAGATTGATCAAGAAATCACCTTCTCCAAGAAGAAAAAGAACATAAACACAAGTAGTCTTATCTGATCCAGAGACACATGAATTTCTGAACACTAAAGGTGATTGTTTCGGTTGAAGGTGGAAATAGTGCAACAAAGAACAGAAATAACCACATTCATTAGTTGTGGCAAGTGAGGAAAAGACCAACCTCAGTTAGATTTCCAGGTAAATAACCACATTCATTAATTGTGTCCATCTCATTGAATCCTTCAAGCAGCCTTTCTTGCTTTTTGTAGTATTCAGCAACTTTTTTCTGATTCCCTATATATGATTACAGAGATTCCATGAAGCAGTCAGGTTAGATTAAAAAACAAAGTGAAAACTTTAATTGCCTAAAACAATGAATTTGGTTATCTGAAACCACCTACTTTAAGCATTATTCTTAAGGGTATGATAGCTTATATTAGCTTATAACACATTACTCTTGAATTATGTCCATTCCAAATAAGAGAGCCAATTTCAGTCCAAGAAAGATAAGTTTTTGAACTATTAGCTTCAGCAATCAAAGCATTTGGTAAGGGAACATTTACAAGTAAATAAGAGCAAATTTTGGTCCAACAAAGATGGATTTTGTTGCCTGCTTTGCAGATCACCCTTACAGATTATCAAGTGAACTTTTGTTCCTTAGCTGAAAATAAGTAACAACTTCAGTCTACCATTCCATCTATCATATCAGTCGAGTCGGCCCAATAACTTCTTATCTATAGATAACTCAAGAGAGAACTTATGTTCTCGCGGATGGAGAGGGATTCGAACCCCCGGTATTCTATAAATACTTCGGTTATCAAGACCGACTCTTTCAACCACTCAGACATCCACCCTATCCATCCGCGCGCTGACAGGTGGTCCTCAACCTGGTAGTTAAATTATCGGCGCCTTCTTAACTTTTAAGAGAGTAAATATGAAAGAAAAATCTAGAGCTGTAGAGAAAAATCAAACAGGACTAATAACCGCGGACTAAATAGAACACCCAAAACTCTTTAATATCTGGAACACCGTAGTTTTATATGCCAAAGGGAAGCAAATGTGACTAATTTCTTTTATAAGTTTACCTTCTCAACCAAAAAAAAAAACACTTTTACAAGAATGAGATCAAGTATATGATTTGAAGTTACTTCAAATAAAACATTGAAGTTACTTCAAATAAAACAATCTTAGGGGTCGCTTGGTAGGAGGTATAAAAATAGTGTTGAATAAGGTGCATCAGTAGTGCTGGATTAGTTATGCCGGCATTATACTGAGATTATTTCTTATCCACTGTTTAGTTTGGTATATTAAAGCATTGCATAATTTCTTAAAAAATTGATTGTTTACAAATATACCCTCTAGAAAAATATGGTGAAAAATATTTGGAATAGGTTTTGAGGGATTTGAGGGGTAGTTATGTCTTTAACCATGTTTATACAAGTATTAAAAACTTTTGCATTGCTAATACCATAGTTTGCTATGTTTTAGTTATACATAATATAATGCTAAATGGGATGTATAACTAATACAAAAAATGTACCAAACAAGGGATTAGTAAGGGGTATTATCACTTTTAGCCCGCGCTAGAAACTATTTACATCTGGTAGCCGGAAGTGTATAAAATTTGCATAATTTTTGTATATAACATACAAAATGTATATATATACAAAATACAAAATGTATATATATACAAAAAAATATACAAATTTTATACATTTTTTCGTCTATTATTTTTACATCGCCTATACATTGTCATTTTTCCAATTAGTAATGCACAAAGTTAATGCCTGCATTATTTTTTTTAATATCCCCTACCAAACGACCCTTAGTATGAAAAATCAGTAATACAAGCTTCACAATTGCATCCCACACAATTGTTCTTGGAGACTCGGAGTATTTAAATTTTTGAGATTTTCTATTTACTAAATGTTTTAGATTCAACTTTTCAAAATTCTTCTTTGCCAAGCAATTCTCTTTTCAATGATTCAAAATCGTAACTCTGTGCTTGTCCCACATAATTAAAGAAAGTAAAGGATTTGGATATACAACCATCTACCCGTTTTTCTCTTCCATTAATTGGAAGATGTAAATAAACAATAAGGCGCTAATATTTGACCATTTCCCCTCTTAAACCAATTAAAATTGCTAGAGCGGAAGAAGGAAAATTAACAAAATAATAAAAGAAAAATCTGACCAGGAACTTTGAACTTTTAGGACAAAATGAAGTCGCGACATGGCCCATGAGCTTTTACATATCGGTGTTTGAATTATAAAGTTGCCAGTTTATTTAGCAAGTTTGATCCCTTTGAAGTGCCCATCATATCTAATCGATTCAAAACTTTGTTAATAAGATCTCCTGAGCACATTAGGATATTCTGCTCCACTACAATGCTACAGACAAGAATTGAAACTTGAAGTAAAGTACTATTAGAAACAAGATTGTAATTTCACTTTTCAGGCTTCAACTCGCCGAAAATATCCAACTCCGATATTCTATATTCAGAAACTAAAGAACTACTTTTTTTGGTAATGCTAATGAACCACTTGAAAGGCGATAGTATTAACTATCAATAAGTTAGGTAATAGTCATGACTTATGATCAGAAATAGTAGTTAGATATTATAATAATAACACTAGAATACTCTAAGGTTACAAACTAAAAGGTCAAAGGGAAACCGAACGAGTTTCAAAGGCTTCAGACATAGTAAACAAAAATAACAAACACTAAAATAAATGTAAAAGGATACATCTTTGTATACGGTAACTCTTTAGCTTTAAATTTTCAAATAATGGCAAGTACTTAATTGTAGTTAGGATCAAATTAACTAGTAATTTTAAATTTACATATTTAGAAATTACATAAAAACTACTACTGTATAAATTACCATAATTAATATTCCAAAATAAGTATTTAGAAAACATTTGTAAAAAATGTGGTTAAAGAAAATATTATGTGACACCCCAAATAATAATAGATTAACATGGAACATAGGCACTAGTATAATATATGCAAAAAAGATTTTTTATTTTTTTTTTATTTTTAAATCCAACATGTGATTACAGGAGTAGTTGAAAAGAAAATTAGGCTAATGGCATGAGCTGAGGAATTACTGAAAGCTCGTAGGAGACGGAGGAAACTGAAAGATTGATGATCAGAGGAGCGGAGTTGGGGAAGATGGAAGTCAGTTGTGTTGAGCTTCCATGTCGGCCCCAGAGACATGGAGTGATCAACCACCGCCTGAGCAGCGGGAGACAGCAACTCCGTCCTAAAACTGTCGTCCAGTGTGACACTCTCATTACTGCGACTGATTTCCATGTTTAGATGAGTAGCTGCTGGTTAATTATGAACTTCGTTGGAACTTTGAATACTGTTTATACTAGAATAGTTATTAGGAATACGGCGTGAATATGGACAATGGGAATGCAAAGGATTCCGTACCACTCACCCACCGTCCGTCCAATCAAGAAACCACGCACACTAGCTTACGTTAGTACTTATACTACTATACTGTCATATTTGTATTTAAAATCTTATAAGACCCCAAGTACAACCTAAAACACACGTCCTACAGGCCTACCCCACGCACCCCCACCCCCAATGTTTCATTCGGTAAAATGATCTAAACCAAACTTCTCCCGGGCCAAAAATACCGTTTATCCTTAAAATTGGATAACAATTAAATTTATAATGTGATTTTAAGAATACGTGATTTCACCTAATACCAATTGATAAATGTGAAGATTAATAACAGAAATGAACTATAAAGTAAAGCGAACCTGTGTTGAAACGGAATTCAACCCTCGAGCTAGGGTGCCCTCGAACTGATTGACACCAAAACAGTTAAAAATAAAGCAAGCCAATGAACAAGAGAGTATAAGCTAAAGAGAGATCGTTATATTGACTTTTTTATGCGAGAACAATATATCCCTTACAAATGGTTAATGCTCCCTTTTATATAGTAGATGAATTCTACTTATGGTATAACTTTAATTACAGAAGAAAATCTCATGATTAGTTAATTAACTATTCCTAATTTGATCTATTCCGAGATTTTCGCCATTATCTTCGACCAGTCACGGATATTTCGTCTTTTCGTTATTATGTTATCTTCGATCTTGCTCGATGCATGTCTCATTTGGTCTCGATCGTTGTTGGCCTCGATCTCGACAAGTACCTCGAATCCCGAACTTGGTAGCTTGTCCTCGTACCTTGGTCTGATCCACTACGGGGCCAACCTTCGATGCAGCTCCCTGGTCCCGGTATAATGTGGTTTTAAGAACACGTGATTTCACGTAATACCAATTGATAAATGTGAAGATTAATAACAGAAATGAACTACAAAATAAAGCGAACCAGTGTTAAAATGGAATTCAACCCTCGAGTTAGGGTGTCCTCGAACTGATTGACACCAAAACAGTTAAAAATAAAGCAGCCAATGAACATGAGAGTATAAGCTAAAGAGAGAGAGCGTTATATTGGCTTTTTTATGCGAGAACGATATATCCCTTACAAATGATTAATGCTCCCCTTTATATAGTAGAATAATTCTACTTATAGTATAACTCTAATTACAGAAGAAAAACCCATGATTAGCTAATTAATCGTTCCTAATTTGATCTGTTCCGAGATTTTTGCCATGATCTTCGACCAGTCACGGATATTTCGTCTTTCCGTTATTATGTTATCTTCGATCTTGCTCGATGCCTGTCTCATTCGGTCTCGATCGCAGTTGGCCTCGATCTTGACAGGTACCTCGAATCCCGAACTTGATACCTTGTCCTCGTACCTTGGTTTTATCCACTACAGGGCCGACCTTCGATGCAGTTCCCTGGTTCCGATCAGATAGAAAAATTGGGTGGGCTCATTTTTAACCGTATACAGATAGTCCCCTCATTTTTTGGAGTGTAATGACAAGAAACGAATTGAGCCTTCAATTTTTACCTCGGCATGCCATGACGTCACCGTCGTGACGTAAGCGACGGAAGTGACCGAAACGTCCCTTCGGTACAGTTCCCCAAGTTATTAATGTGTATCAATTGGTGGTCGGCCACTAGTGCCCTTGAACTGTCGCTGTGAATCCCATAAATATGCCTCTTTTTACACTCTTTCAAACTTTACTTTCAACCTTTTCTAATCTCCAAAGCTTTTTACATCTTCTAAATTCTTCATCTGCAAATCTACAATTTTCACTGCTAACCTCTTCTTAGAACACCAAATCTTATCATCTCCATCTATTTTTAACTTCAAATCCAAATGGCGAAAACGTCAAAAACTATTCCTCAAAAGGAAAACGCTTCTTCATCGCGGTCGGCCGGTGACATAACACCGGTGGAGCCGCGCCCTGAGGAGTGTGTTCCCGGGGGGTGCGTCCTCACTTCCAACTTTAAGATCGACAAAACTTCGTCGGTCCCTGGTCGATGCGAGCCAATGTCGAGGTATATATGCTCGATAACTGAGAGCTTCCTTAAGCAGGTGAAGAAAGACTACAACTGGGAAGGCAAAGAAGTGGTGATTCCGGCCGCCGAGGAAGACATCACTAACCACCTGAAAGGGTTTCTGAGTGTTTATACTTACCCTTTTACGCTGGGCCCCCTCTATCCCATTATCGTCGATTTCTACCGCAAGTATCAAATAACCCTAGGTCAAATCCATCCCTCCTTTTGGCGGATTGTTATTCTGCTCCGATTTTTCATGAGCAAAGTCGAGGGGATGCCTTTCACCCTCGACCACCTCATCAGGTTGTACAGCCCCTGCCTCTATCGAGGCGGGTTAATAAAACTTCAGCGTCGGGCTACCAAGGTGTTGTTCTCGAGCATAGATGATGACAAGGACCGAGGCTGGATGGGCCGGTTCGTTCGAGTGAGGACTTCCGACCTAATCCCGGCCGAGAAGATGTCATTTCCCGAGAAATGGATTATGAAGCGTAAGTACAATCCCACTGTTAGCTCCTATTTATTGTTTTGTTCCTTTGCTTCTTCTCATCGATATCCTTTTCCGTGATGTAGAGGTTGCTTGGATACCCGGTGCAATTCCTAGCCTCGAGAGCTGGGTTCGAGGCCTGGCCTCGACCTCTACGTACGTCGAGCGCTCATGGCGCGATTTATCAAAGGGCCAATGGGAGGTCAAAAATCATGGTAAGCCCTTTTTGCACGTCCTTGATGATTTTGTTAAAGCATTTCTTACTTAATTTCCTTTCATACAGGCATTGGAAAAGATGTTGTCATGAGGCCCTTATATGGTAGGGAGGAGACTTCGATCCCGGCACCGAAACTAGCGAAGGACAAAAAGAGGAAAAAGACCTCAACCTCCGAGGATCCAGAACCGAAGAAGAAGGCGTCTCGTAAGCCGAAGAAGAACATCATCCTTCTGACCGAAGACTCTATTCGGCGTCTAAGGGAGGAAGACGAAGAAGAGGAAGAAGACGACTCTAGATTGGTGGCCCGAGTGGGAATGAGCACCGAGGCCCCAAAGGCCACTGAATCGGTGAAGGCTGCAGAGACTCCATCTCGAGATGAGGGGGTCTCGGGAAGAGACTTGGGCGAAGTCCCCGAGTCATCGAGGATTGAAGATGCCTCCCACCATAATGAGCCAACGTTGGGTACGGTTGTAGGGGCTGGTCTCGAGGCCCCTCAAGATGGAGAGAACGCCCCAAGTGATCCATTTGGGGCAATAGAAATTTGAGGCTCCCCGTTGCTCCCCTCGTTTTCTGAGGAGATGATTCAAGAGGCTCGGGCCTTGAAAACCCCTTCCATCGAAGGAGCCCACGGAAGGGAGGACCCCTTCCGTGATTACTTTACTGGGTCAAAGATGCTACTGGCCTGAGCGACTTGGAGGTCTCGAGAAAGGACTAGGGCAAGACATCGAGCCTTTTCAACGAAGCGCGGCAAGCTCTGAATCAGGTAAGCCTTAACTCCCCTTATTGGTATTACCCTTGTGTTCATTTTACTCTTCCTGTCTAACTTCTTTTCTTCTTTCTGCGTAGGCCTCAGCGCTTCATCGGGAAGCATTTTCTCGGTCTTGAGCTGAGCTGAGTCGGTATGAGGCTGACATTCAAAGGCTCACCGAGGAGAGGAATGCCCTCAACCTTCTCGGTGGGCAAAAATAAGAAAAGATCAAGGACCTCCGAGCCGAGTTGGCCACGGCTCACAAAGATGAGACCGACCTGATCGAGCAGGTAATGAAAATCTTAAAAGCTCATGGGCTAAATTCAGGAACGGTGGCTAATATTTCAATCTCACAGCTGCAGTAGAAGGTCGAGAGGATCGAGCAGTTCCGCGAGGAGGTCAACATGATGGGGGCGGAGGCCTTGGGGTGGAAAGAAGGTATGGACCGCTTTGCTACAGAAAAAGAGACTGCTCGAGCCTAATTGTCATCAATCGAAAGTCAGCTTCGAGGCATGAAGGAGAAGAGCTCGGCTCAGGCAAAGAAAATAGAGAAGCTCGAGGCTTGGTTGGCTTCCGAACTTTTAAGGCCAAATCTGAAGCCGAAAGGCAGATGCGATCGTGGCCGTCTACTGGGCCGATGCTGAAGCCGCTCAAGTCCAAGCGAGAGAGGAAGTCGAGACCGCTCAAACTCGAGCACATTGGATTGCTGAACTTGCCAAATGCCAATCTCGGAAGGAAACCCTCGAGGAGATCCACGCTCGAGGTTTCGATCTTAAAGACGAGATAATAAAGGCTAGGGAGCATGATGATGATAGCAGCAAGAGCGGGTCCGAGAATAGGGAGGACCTCGATGGAGAAGAAGCTGCCCCTGAGGAAAATTAGGAATCTTAGGCTTTTTTCGTTTTTGATTTTTTGTGCGGGACCCTAATCGGTCCTTGTAAATATCTTCGTATATATAAAAGATCTTTTTTTTTCTCTTTGACTTGTCCTTATTCTATTTCCTGCCTCGTGAAAATTCTATTTCATTCATACTTTATGAAACTTTTGCTCATAAGTTCGAGATTTAGGCAACTTGATCGAAGCCGGACTAGTGTAGTCTTAATCGAGTGAGTACTTGCTCGAACTCGGAGTAGGGTGACCCTTAGGTTTTAATTGAGTGAGGATGATTTCTCGAACTCAAAAATAAAATGTCCATTTAGGATCTTAAATTAGGCTGTTACGACCATAGTATAAAGAATGGCTTTCTCCCCATTTTCGGTTTGAAAAGTTTATTGTTTAATCATATAAAATATTTTGTACCTTAGCACGAAATAAGGGATTTGATCGAGAGTTCGAATGATTTCGTACCCATTAGGGTTTTTAAGTGTTGATATTATCGAGACCCTTTGTTTCGTAATGCCTTAGCATAAAAAAAAGAATTTGTTCGAGAGTTCGAACGACTTTGTACCCATTAGGGTTTTTGAGGGTCGATATTATCGAGACCCTTAGTAATTCAGCCGAGGGTAGCCTTTTTAACTGGTTTATGAAAATATTTGAAGGCCTGTTTTATAACGGAAATCGAACGTCTCTGAACCG